ATTGCTTAACACTTGTTGAAATTTGTGGACAATTTACAAGTTAAGTTAAGCCGAGATCATTATTTACCACTTGTTGAAATTTGTGGACAATTTACAAGTTAGTCAAACCGAAAAATATTGCTCAACACTTGTTAAAATTTGTGGACAATTTACAAGTTAAGTTAAGCCTAGATCATTATTTACCACTTGTTGAAATTTGTGGACAATTTACAAGTTGGTTAAACCAAAAAGTATTGCTTAACACTTGTTGAAATTTGTGGACAATTTACAAGTTAAATTAAGCCGAGATCATTATTTACCACTTGTTCAAATTTGTGGACAATTTACAAGTTAGTCAAACCGAAAAATATTGCTTAACACTTGTTGAAATTTGTGAACAATTTACAAGTTAAGTTAAGCCGAGATCATTATTTACCACTTGTTGAAATTTGTGGACAATTTACAAGTTGGTTAAACCAAAAAGTATTGCTTAACACTTGTTGAAATTTGTGGACAATTTACAAGTTAAGTTAAGCCGAGATCATTGTTTACCACTTGTTGAAATTTGTGGACAATTTACAAGTTGGTTAAACTGAAGAGTGTTGCTTAAACACTTGTTGAAATTTGTGGACAATTTACAAGTTAAAGTTAAGCCAAAGACATTGTTTAAACATTTGTTGAAATTTGTGGACAATTTACAAGTCGAGTTAAACCAGCATGATACTCAGCACTTGTTAAGATTAAAACTGAGAAGTTTATGTATCCGAGGTGTGTTATCCCGAGAAGATTGCACAAAGAAGAAAGAGTACATATGATATATGCAAAATATTCTAAGTATAGAATCATACGAAGACAAAGAAGAAAAGACAGGAGTACAAGCATTCAATAAAAGAGAAAAGTTGTATTAACATTCCAAGAAAAAAGGGGGGCACATCGGCCATACAAAAAGCATACATTGTTGCCCAAAACAAAGAAGCCAGAAAATACAAGTAAGAAAAAGATAAACAGCTAAGACTCCTCCCCAACAGTTGGTTGAAGATCAAACACCACCTCAGCTTCCTTCTCTGCCGCTATCTCAACGTCAATTTCCTAAAGAGTTTTTTCAACCGTCTTGACCTCGGAAGGGATGTCGGCTGGTACAATCTTAGGAACAGCTTCTTTGGGAACCAAATCACCTTCATCATCCTGAGTCAAGTCTAGGACTTGCTCATTCTGAGGAGGGGACTTGGCCCCATCAGGGCCTTTGGATTTTCTGATCAAAGCATCGTCCTCTTCCTCCTCGGCCTCATCCTCAGCATCAGATTCACCTATATCTTCACTTGGAGTTGGGGCAGGAGGGAATGGCAAGGGAATGGAGTCAACCTTCCGCAGTGGAAAGTCATCAGGAATATTAAGTTTTTTAAGAAAGGACATCCAACCAAGGGTAAAACCCTTGTTGCATGCCTCCTTCACTTGTTTTTCGTAGGCCTCAGTAACGTCGGTCATACCCTGTGAATATGCCTTTTCATCGGCGTCTTTGATTTCAGCTTCTTTGGTGGCTAGGGCCACCTGAAGCTCTTTCTCAGCTTGAGCCATCTTTTCCTCGGCTTCTCTCCCTTGAGATTCAGCCACCTTTCTGATAGCTTCAGCAGCCTCAGCTTTCTCTTCGGCATTATTCTGGGCTTTAATTGCAGCTTCGGCTTGATCCTCCAGTTTCTTCATTTTTTATTCAAGGCCTTTATTGACCTTTTGAATAGAAGAGAACTCTTTTTTCATATCGGCCAGCTTTTGCCGATTCTCAAAAGACTGCATTGAGAATGAAAGGGCGTGCTGGATGGCCTGAAAGAGAACGAAAATATTAAAAGATATTCAAAGTGTGAAATAAAGAGAAAGAAAAAATTTGCCAAGAAGAAGACATTTACCTAAACAGAGTGCTGTAACATCAAGGCATAATTTTCATACTTGCTGTACTTGGCGTTCCGCTCCAAGTCGCCTGGGAGAAGTAAGGCGGTACTGAGTGAAACACCGACATTAATATCGTCGACACTGTCACTTGCCATTATAGGCTTATCCTCTAGGGTGATCTTGGGGGCCCAAGGGACAGCTGGTTTCTTTGACCCCGAAGTCGTTGCAGATGACCTCGACTTTTTTGATTTGGAAGATTCAGAAGGAGGTACTTCGGCAGACCTCTTCGAAGGGACAGAGGCAGTTCTCTGACTTGGAGCCAGTTGTGGGGCTAGCAAAGTGTCCTTAGTCTCAACCTGGGCCACTTTCGCCTTCGGTTGAGCTTTCTTTATTCTTTTTTTATTTTTCTGGAGGTTGGATTTGTGTTGGTTGTTCATCAATGGATGATGGAATGTCGGCTAGGAGGTCTTTAGTAATTGGCTTTGCACGACCCATCTCAGATGCAAGAACAAGACGTCGGCGACGCTTTCTTTGGGATGATGGAATGAGGTATGGAAGCGAGGTCGATGGCTATTCCGCTGGATCAGATGTTGATCCTTGGTCTGTTCGTGATGATGAAGCAACTGGAAGAGTTATAGCAGAGGGAGGAGATGAGCTCTTCTTTTTCTTTTTCCTGGGATATCGGGGAGAGCTGATCTGTATGTTGGGATGAAGTTGAGAAACAGAGGTGCCTTTCGCTTCTCAATTGGAAAATCTAGAAGTCTCTTCAAGTCTTTGCTGGGGACAAAGGATTGGCGAAAATTTTTTGGTGGCTGACGAACAGCTGCAAAAAGAACAGACGTCAGAAACAGATAGAATATTTAAGACTTTGAAAGAAAATAGGCAAAGCTAAATGCTAGGCTCTTACCCTTGCCCTCTAAAACGGATCGGGGAAGAGGGTAGAGATGGATGTCCTCGTCTGGAGCAAACTCCCAATTTCCTGAGGTAATAAGATAGTCGTCTCCAGCCCCCTTGTTAGAGTCTGGGAGGTCGGCTACGATTTTGAATTCTGCAGACCTCGGCTTAAGATAGTAAATGAAGCCTTTTTCTTTCAAGTTAAGGGCACACATGGTGTAACAATACTGTATATCGGCTAGGGTGATCCTAACATTTTCTTGTCTAGCTAAGGCAATAATACCAAAAATCACTCGATAAGAGTTGATTGCCAGTTGCATGGGGTTCAACTTATAATAATGAAGGATCTCGCGAAAAAGGAAGTTGAGTGGGAACCGGAGTCCACACTCAGTAAAAGCTACAATGGGAAGGGGCATGGCGTTTTCTGTAAGCATGATAGAGTCATTATCCCCAGCCAGTCTCAAATGGACATCGGCAGGGATGGAGAACTCCTACCTAAAGTACTCAAGTTTGGTCGGGATATCTACCCTGTGTCTCCACATACCCATGATATCGGCCTAAATTAGAAGGGTTGAAATTCAAAAGAAAGATATTTCTTATTAATGAGACCTCGGCAAATACCTAGGTTTGGGCTGGTACAGAAATTTGTAAGGAATGTTTGCAGTTTTGCCCTAAATTGTGGGTTCTACAAAAAAATCCCAAACCTAAGCTATGAAGATAAAGATCAAAGGTACAGATCTGGAAAAGATGCAAAAAAAAAAAACAAAAGACAAAAACAAAGTTTTAGAAACAAGAATTGGAATGGGCTATCAAGAACATGAAGAATACAAGAGTATATGTCCAAGAACAGTGGCAAAAGTGCAAAGAAGTAGTGAAACAGTGCGTATGTTCAAAATGTGGGCAAAGGCACAATCATGAATGAATGCATTCAGATGTACGATTTACAAATTGAAAAAGCTTGAAACAGTACAGTCATGGCGACAGCAAAAGAAGAAGAAACATCAGGAACTGAAAACGAAAGAAACAGACGCTTACCAGAAAAAATGAGGCCAGAAAGGGATTTGCCGATGTCCTACGACGATTGCAAGAGCAGCAGACCGGTGGAAATCTTGCCGGAAGGGGTGAACGGAATAAGTTGCAGAGCTTGGGAAGCTTAAGCGATGGCGGATTTGAAAGAAAAAGTTTTAGAGAGAGAAAAAACAAGAGAACTCAGATGCAAAAGTGAAGAGACGAAAGAAAGGGGGAAAGATTTTGTCAAAAAATGAAAACGGTGGCAAAAAAGTAATCAATACGCCTAAAAGTGCGCATACGTCAGACGGCGCATGTGAGAAACAGATGACTTATGGGCGCGTCACAAGCACGAGCCAGTAAGAAAGAAACGCGTGATTGAAACGGTTGAGTTGAAGTGCATAACAGTTCATGCGCGTAAAAAGATCCTTAAAAATCTTGATTTTTTAGGGAAAGCATTCGGCCAGAAATGGATGATCTCAGCTATCAAACTTTAATCCAATTTACTGGAAGAAAATACAGATATAGGTTCCATCACCTCAGAATGCCCAAAATGCCGAGGTAATAGAACCTAGAGGGCAGTTGTGGGGATGTATTTTCTGAATACCAACACGTGGCAAGGTGACGCCGACGTGTCAGCCGAGGTGCCACCTGTCCAGGTTATGACGCCGAGGTGATCTCGGCAAGGCCGAGATTGTCTCCGAAGATATCGGAATCCGAGATAAATGAATAAAAGATAAGGGACAGGAGTCCTAGAGTAAAGAGGAGACTTAGCTAAGATAAGGATAAAGCTCTTAGGGAGTTTATTTTTATCTCTTGAGGAATCCAACGTAAGCACTGAATGGGAGTTCATAGAAGTCAGGCTTCTAGTGGGATCAGGATTGAGTTGGCTATAAAAGAGAGGCACCCCCGTGGGTCTAAGGTACGCAATTTTATGCTTTGAGCAGTAAGTTTAGCACTTGATTATCTTTGAAAGATATACTGACTTGATCGTCGGAGTGCCCCCGGGTGGAAGAGCCACCGCCGGAGCTTTTTCTTTCTGTTACAGGTTAGCTGAAGCCATCTATTCTGTCGGTGCTCTCCAGCTGATTACTAGGCGGGCAGTGTGGTCAGAAAATTACCCACACACCAACTAAAGAAATTGTTGATTGGCAATTTAAAGAACGGAAGTTATATCATACTTACATTGGATTTCAACTCATAATCTTTAGTACGAAATTAATCCATTCAACTCGCACTTCATCAAGTTCGGCTTCTGTGTATGTCTTTTTTCCATTGAACTGCAAGAGGTTATTTACAAACAATTAGATAATATGAAGAAGATGTACAAGTATCATGAATATTAATAGTAATAAAAGTTTAGAGTTTATCTCACATTTTGTTTTCTTGGGATGCTTTGATCATTAATGAGGTCTTTCATACACCGCATTACATAAAACCCACATTCCACACTTGTAGGTTGTTGCGGGGACTACATGAAAGCAGTTTCATTATTATTAGAAACTACATATAAAGTGTTATGATCAAGCTTAACAATCATTAGCATAAATATAAGTATGATAAAATGACTTGTTAAGCATTTCTTGCACATATGTTGCTTGTGTCTCCATGACTTGTTAAGTTATTATACTGCACAATGTTTCCTTGAGTCCTTTTGTTCAGTTTATTCGGTAAAAGTTTTTATAGATTTGCTATCAACTAAACTAACATTTATAAATGCAATTATTCCATTGCTATGGTTTATTAGGGATACTTTTTGGTAGTGCCTGCTGTGTGACAAGTTATTAATTATTGTGTTGATTGTTGTAGATTTTTTATTGACATGAGTGTTTATTTTAACTCCATTGTTGAAATTTATATTCCAGATTGGGTGTTTTTCAAGTTGAGTCAATTTGAATTATTCGTCTTACTTCTTCCTTTAAACCGAACCTTTCTAGGCTGTATGTTTCATGTTCAGATGGTTGCATATCTTGATCCCAGTCCTATAAAATTAATATTCTAAAATATGTAAAATGAAAACAAAGAAGAGAATTCATTTACAAAAATAAATGTATACTATTTGTTTCCTTATTTTTTGTTGAAAATATTACTGGTAAGTTGGTTAATCAAAGTAAAGTCAGTCCCATAATCTACTGCACATTTGATATTTTTTTAATATTGGATGAACAATCGTACCTTTCTTCATTAATATTTGAAGATCTTGACAAGTATTTTCCCCCCTTTCCCCATCCACAATCAAAGAGTTAGGTGATTTTCTTTTTCTTTGCTATGTGTAATCCTAGTTATAAATGATTTTATTAAAAGGAGATCTCTGCGAAGATTTGGTTGGAAACCCCATTTCATTAATTTGGAATTTGCATCTATGTGTATCAAGTTGTGGTAGTAGGTTGTTTTGGGCTCAAGCCCATTGTTAATTTTTTACCATGTTTAAGTAGATAATTTTTTGTAAGAGTTAGAGTGATCAGATGAACCCATTCTCTCTTTTCACCTCCTATTCTCTTGTCTCACATATGCGCGTCTATATTTATGCATATTCTACTAGTTAAATTATTGAACAATAGAATAATATAATGCACACTGCATTGTTCCCATAATTAATATGTTTTATTTATTTATTGTTATATTTTTTCAACCACAGCTCGCTTCTCCCCTGATGACAAATATTCAAGGCAAAGGGTTCTTCTGAAGAAACGATTTGGATTGTTGCCAACCCAAAAGCCAGGTCCGAAGTATTGAGTACTTCACCGGCTTCTTCTTCGTTAGTATTTTTACTGTTGTGGGCTTTTCTATATCATGTCAAATTGGGTATGGAAGAGTTTATCTTTATGTAGCTGTCCAACTTAATAGCAGTAACAGTTTACATGAGGTAGGTCAGCAGTAAGGTTTTCGGATGCTGAGATTGAACTACATTACATTTTGGAGAGTTTTGGTTAGATATGTTGCACGGTTGTTAATGATCTGATTTGTTCCTGGATCGAGACATAAAAACTTGCTTATTATTGTCATTGCTGATATTAAGCCACAGTAGATGGTGCCCGCATTGTAGAAGAATTGCAGGGTTCAGTCACAAATCAATTACCCCACCCCACCCCCCAACCGAAATTTTTTGCCCCCAGCCGAAATTTTTTGGGTCAATTCCTAACACAACCATACAGAGTGCATGAACTTATATACATATATGGCATAACCATCTAATTGAACTACAGTTCTAACTACTCTATAACCAAGTCAACCTAACTGTAGTTAATCCTAACTACATAACTGTGTCAATTTGGGAGTGGAATGATGAGGTATAGCCCAACTAACTTAGGTGGTTTGCCTCCCAAACAAGCAGCAACTTGCAACAACAAAAACAGCTATACAACAGCAGCAGCAGCAAAACAGCTCTGCACCATGCTTGCTGATGCATACTGTTTGTAGGCTACTTGAAGGTTGGCAAGCTAACGGGCAGAATTAACATTTCTTTTTGTGCCAATCCTTCGCAATCATATCACTAATTTCTTGGCATAGATTAAAATCAAGATTCAGCCGATTAGCTTTAATTTAGTGTTGCTACCTTTTGACTCAAAAATTCAATTCTGCCACTATTGAATGTGGAAAGAACTATATAATCTACTAATAATAATAGTCAATTTTGTAAAATAAGAATGTTTGGCTCCTAGATTTGGACCTAATCCCTTCAAACCTAGTGATGTGGTATGCCTGTCAGGACATTACAAGGCAATCCTTCTCAAATATTGTCTTCTTCGACCCCTTTTTTTTTCCGAGTTAATAATGTCAACACGATGGTATTTTCCTATCATATTTTATTTATTATTTTATGCGTGAATATTATATTGATAATAAATATAATAGTCGGAAAATTTTGAAGAATTGGCAGAACGATAAAATTTGATAATAAGATCCAACTTCATCATTAACTTCAAGACTTTGGCTTGAATCTTGATAATTTAAATAAATAAAAAACTCTCACAGTTCCAGAAATTAGCAATTTGATTTTAATCTATGCCAAACAGTAAATTGGCTTGAATCTTGATTTTAAAAAACTCTCATGCAAACTAGCTTGAATCTTGATTTTAATCTATGCCAAGAAATTAGTGATATGATTGTGAAGGATTGGCACCAATGTTTCTGTTGATCAGAGAGGGAGGCTTTACCAGCCATATCAATGATCGCCTCTGCATTTGATTCATCAGCATTCCTTCCTAAACGATTATAGCTGGATATGCAAGGATTTCATAAGGAATTAAGACTAGAATGACAAAAAGAAATGAAGGTAACTATATGGCAACAAAGGCTGCATCGTGTTCACATGAAGGAGCATGGTAGATTAGAGCATCAATACATGACATGCAGAATATTAATCATGATGTTTGTCTCAATCTTCCAACACTATGAAAGTGAATTACCTCGTCAAAGCTCAACAATCATAAATACTTATCCACTTATGCCAAGTATTACTATTCTGTTATTGGAATCATACAGTTCACAATTCAAATCGTACAATTCTTTTCGATTCAGTGAGTAATCGATATGAACATGTTGCATAAATCGAAAATAGTTGTGAACCGTGAGTGAATCGGTGAATCGGTGAATCGATTGATTCACTTTTGATTAGCTAAAATCAATTTTTGGCTTCTTTTTTGCTTACAGATTCAAAGCCTTACTGCTAGATTTCTAGATAGAAACAAAAATTATATATTGCTCAAATTGAAATACCATAAGATTATTGTCGATAATAGATACTTTAGGAATTCAAGATGAATTTGCATCTTATTATGACCTTTCCAGAATATATGACACCATTTTCAATACATTAATAGTTGTTAAAATTTCTTCTTTTTCAAGGCCACAAAACTCAGGTCAATCAAGCATTAATGCATTCATAACATTAAAGCACGAAACAAAGGTGCTGTGAAAGGCAAAAACAGGCTCGGGACAAGTAATGTGAACAATGGTTAATTCAATAACCAAATGATATTGACCTGGTGTAAAGAAAGAGCGGATTTATATCAGCCTCAAATTGAAGGTGCCTTAGATTTCTAGCAAATGTGGACTTTTTGCAAGAATTCTCACAGCCTGATAGCAAAATGAAGAAACAGAAAACCTTATTAAGATGATAAAAAGATTAAACAGCAGCAATGTTTAGGACAAAAGCAGGGGAGCCACGTTTAACTATGGGGGAATCTATCAACCAGCAAATTCTGCAGTACTGTAACAAGATAAATTATCCCAAATTGGATGCAGATGTCATGTTTTAATTTTGTGGCCAACCCAATGGGGTCATTGATATTGTAAATATGTGTTTGGAATAAGGAGGTGAAATCAATCTACTTGATTTTAATCTATAGCAGCAAAATTAATAATTCTAGAACTATGAGGATAGTTTTTACAGTTTTTTCCCCCCTAATAAAACCAGTTCACCTATAAAAATATATGGAATTTATGAGGAATGGATGGAGAGATTCAAAGACATGGAAATAAATCAGTAAACCAAAAACATATGAATACATCAATAAAAACCAAACAATTGAGACATAAGAAGCACAAAAAAAATGAAGTAAACCAAACAAATGAACCAGCTTCAAATGATGAAAAACAGAGAACCAACTTCAAAAAACAGGGAACCAGCTTTAAATGAACCCACTGCAAGCCCCACCGTTTCATCAACCCTAGACCACATCTTCCACACATTCAGATACAAATACACTATCAACATAAAGTATAAAAAATAAAAAATAAAAATTCCAACTCTGATTTACAAAACCCAAATACAATATCAACATTCCCACCCAAAACCCTCATTCCAAATGAAACACTATATTTATATAATTCCACTAATAATAATCATAATCATATACAAATATATCTTATGAATGACATACGAAAGGAGCATAAAAAAAAAAAAGAACAGAACTCACCAAAAGTTTGAAGATTCAACAGAGACGAAGACTTGAGTGAGTAACAATGGGGATTTTGGAGCTGCAAACCAAATTAGGGAAAACGAATTAGAAAGAGAGGCAAAACAGAATTGGAAAAGGAAGAGTCTGGTATATGTTTGGAACTTCTAAATCTTCTTTGGAAGAAGGCGTGTCTGGAGTAGTGGAAGAGGAAAAGGCACCAATTTTGGGATATATTTTTGTACAAAAAAATATATTCAATATATATAATCACATTTATATTTTTATTATATATAATCACACTTAATTAGAAAGTGTCATTAAAATATAGGGGTTTTTTTTTTAAGCTCCCTAATAATAACAATTTTCTGCATAAAGGACATTACAAAATGTAATACTGCCTCAGGTCCCTAACCAAAATACCAGCTCATTTTATCAATTTCTTGGACCAAAATACCCTACGTCTGTTGGATATTCTCCTTTGTCATGCTGGTACTGGTGTTGGGTATTTTCCGGCGAGTACGAAAACAAATTCAGCAAAACAAAAGTACTAAGTTTGGCAAATTTGATTTTCTGGGTAAACAAACAGAGTGGAGTGGAGTTGATAGATGTATATATATATATACAATCTGTTGCTTACTGTCTTGACTAGTATATATATGATAATTAATCAATTAAGACCATTTGCAACCATAATCAAACACCAGAGAAATTCTGGACCAGAGAAATTTTTCTCTGGGTTGAATCCAGAGAAATTCTTTGGAAGTCCAGAATTTCTTTGCTTCCAACTGATGATGGGTTGCTTTCCTTCCAACTGTCAAAATTGAACTGCTTTCTGTGCATTTGGGGCTTCTTATTGAAGCTTCTTGTGTTCTTGTTTTTGTAAATTTCTCTGGCTTGTTACATTTGTGTTTCTCTATTGTGTAATTTTATCTGGCATGTTTATGTTTCTTCATTATTTTCTCAAGCAAATTATCTGTGGCTTACTACTCTATTGGTGTGGCTAATTTTCTCTGGCATTTATAATTTTCTCTGGCCAAATTACTTTTCTTACTTGTGTGTCTAATTTTCTCTGGCAGCATTTATAATTTTCTCTGGCCATATTATGTTTATGTCTTGTGTCTAATTTTCTCTGGCATATTTATTTTGTTCAATGCTCCATTTCCTCAAAATTTCTCTGTTGTGTAATTTTCTCTGTCATGTTTATGTTGCTACCTTGTAATTTTCTCTGTTGTGTAATCATTGCTACCTTGTAATTTTCTCTGGGATTTAATGTTTATGTTTTCATTCTATAGAAATGGCAAAGCGCAGAAGCAGCACAACCCCAGAAATTTGAAATGACATTGTATATATATATGTTTATGTTTTCATTCTATAGAAATGACATTGTATATATATATGTTTATGTTTTCATTCTATAGAAATGACATTGTATATATATATATATATGATACATACATATATATATGTTTATGTTTTCATTCTATAGAAATGACATTGTATATATATATGATACATACATATATATATACAATGTCAGCACATATATATATATATATCCAGTGTTGAATATAATATCTTCAGGTTCAGAGAAATTTGAATTTTCTCTGGATTCAACCCAGAGAAATTCAACCCAGAGAAAGTGATCCAGAGAAATTTGAATTTTCTCTGGATTCAACCCAGAGAAATTCATTGGAAGTCCAGAATTTCTTTGCTTCCAACTGATGATGGACCAGAGAAATTTGAATTTTCTCTGGATTCAACCCAGAGAAAGTGATCCAGAGAAATTTGAATTTTCTCTGAATTCAACCCAGAGAAAGTGATCCAGAGAAATTTGAATTTTCTCTGATTAAAAAAAAAAAACAAAACATTTACTGCTCTATTGCTACGTCTGTAAATTTCTCTGCCTATTTACAATTTTCTTTGTGATTTTCACTGCACTACAAGTTTACAATTTTCTCTGTGATTTGAGTTCAATTATAGTAACAAACCTGCAATTTTCTCTTCACTACACAAAAAATGCAAAGTGAACAGAAAAACAGAGCACAAAAACGCTTAGTTTTAGAGCACCAAAAAGCAACTCATAACCATGTTGACAGAGAATGAAAAAGCAACTCCAAAAATCAAAATCAACTCCATCGAAAATTCATCAATAACAGATAATGAAAAATTAACTTCAAAAATCAAAAACGATAACACTGAGTTCGTCTCTCTCACATTGATCAAAACTAAAAACAAAACCTAATTCAACACCTACACGATCAAATCAAATCAAAAATTGAAAACTTATCTAATTCAACTCCACATGAAATCAAATCAAACACAATGAACCAGATTTCAACTCCTACACGATCGATCAACATCTACAAATAATGAACATGATTTCAACTCGTATAGGATTTCAACACCTACAAACAACGAACAGGATTTCAACACCTACAAAAACCCTAGAAAATCTCCACAAAAATCTGAATCGTCAAGTTCATCCTCACGTAATCTCCCACAAAATATCAATATGATCTTTAGCTGCCAAATTCAAAACAACGTATATTATAAATAAGGGTAAGACAGGTATTTTACACTTTAAAATAACATTGAGGGACCTTAGGCTACAAAAGAACACATTGTGGACCTAATCCATTACTAAAAGTTGGATAGGGACCTTAAACCGATTTTCCCTAAAATGTATATATATATATATATAATGACATTTAATTAAAAAGTGACATAAAAAATAAATATATCGCATGTTAATTAAAAAATGTGGTTAAAAAATGTATATATATAATCACACTTAATTGAAAAGTCTGATAAAAAAAAATATATATAATGATACTTAATTAAAAAGTGACATAAAAAATAAATATATCACATGTTAATTAAAAAGTGTAATTAAAAAATGTATATCTATAATCACACTTAATTGAAAAGTGTTAGAAAAAATAAATATTATCACACTCAATCAAATCAAGTATGATTAAAATATCGATCTAATTTTTTTTATCACACTTTCAATAAAAGTGAGATATTTTCATGTATCAAAGTGTAATCTTTATCTATTTTTAGTGTCTACTTAGGAAAAAAAATTATGTCAGAAAAAAAAAACGGTGAGATAAAATTAATGTTAAAATTTATTAATTAAAAATAAGTTTTTTTTTAAATAAAAAAATTAATGCTATAAAAAACTAATAATGCTATGATGTGGCATAATTTTAAACTTTTTGGATATTTATAATTTGTATAATGAATGAGATCAGTAATAATAACATAAGGTATGTTGATACCTTAGTTGGTATACCAATTGGTGCATCACCGATAAAAAATAAGTCATATTTGTGTGTATAGCTTTTTTAGTAATTTTTTAGATAAGTTTTAAAATTTGTTTTTTTTTTTCTAAAATTATAAATATACCCAAATAAGTCTAAAAAAATTATAGCAAAATTAGAGATTTTTTTTCTAAAATTATAAATATACCCAAATAAGTCTAAAAAAATTATAGCAAAATTAGAGATTTTTTTTCTAAAATTATAAATATACCCAAATAAGTCTAAAAAAATTATAGCAAAATTAGAGATTTTTTTTCTAAAATTATAAATATACCCAAATAAGTCTAAAAAAATTATAGCAAAATTAGAGATTTTTTTTCTAAAATTATAAATATACCCAAATAAGTCTAAAAAAATTATAGCAAAATTAGAGATTTTTTTTCTAAAATTATAAATATACCCAAATAAGTCTAAAAAAAAGTGTATAGCAATCGAAAAGAGATGAGAGAGAAGGAGAGGGAGAGGGGGGGAGGGTTTTGGAGGGCAAGAAACATGTAATAGATATGATAATGAGAGGAGAGTTGGTGAACGCGCAAGCCATTAAAAATAATGTTTTTTGAGTTTTTTCTTTTATGTTTAGTTTAATTGTACAGATCTTATTAAATGTTTTAAATGATTTTTTTCTTAACATTTTAAAATTGAAAAAACTTTAGCATATAGCTTAGAAGGAAATATAATTTTTTTAATTTTTAAAAAAAATATTAAATGTCAAAAAAATATTAAATTTAATTTACATTTTACATGTATTATATATTTTTTTATAAATATTGTTACTTTTTTAGCGTCTCCAGAGAGTTAATGTATTGTTGAATTTTTTTTTTAATTTGTGTTTTGGTGTGGCGCTTTGTTTTTTAAATAGAAAATAAAAATTTGGGAATTGTATTATTTTTCTAGTAAAAATTCAAATTGAATATTTTGCATACATCACAGCTATTTGGAGGAGTGTGACTTATATATATGTATATAGTAATACACTGTATTTAAAAGGTGTGTTTCACAACTATAATTTAATATAGATACAACCATTAATTAGGAGGTGTGATTAAGAGAAATATATAATAAGGTCACAGCTTTAGATTAGAATGTGCTGATTAGAAAAAATATATATTAGTAAATGCACACTCATCTTAAAAAGGTGATTAAAACACGATAGTAGTATATATACAGTCATAACTTTAATTAAAGAAAGTGGTGATTAAAAAAATATATACAATAATTCACCACTTGTAATTAGAAAGTATTGATTAAAAATATATTCGTTCATTCATATACTATATATAATCACACTTATTTAAAAAGTGTGATTAAAAAGTAGTAGTATATATATAATCACACTTTAATTAGAAGGTGTGATTAAAAAAATATATATATAATCACACTTAATTGAAAAGTGACATAAAAAATAAATATTATCACACTCAATCAAATTAAGTGTGATTAAAATATTAATCTAATTTTTTTTTATCACACTTCCAATAAAAGTGAGATCTTTTTTTTTTTTTTGTCAAAGTGTGATCATTAACTATTTTGTAGTAGTGTTTGTCGGAGAAAGTCAATATCGGGGTAGCCCCTCCCGGGAAAACTAAGCCCACCAGCTATTCAGGCGTGGTGTCTATTGAGAGCTTGGCCTTGTCCATGGCCAATAAGACAGCTTGTCGATGCACTCGCGATGCCATAAGCAGTTCCCAGATGGAAATATCTACTTGTATCTTTTTCAACTGCTTCAGCACAGCCTCTTCTACGAGTTGCTTCTCTTTCTGTTTCTCCGCCTCCTTATCTTTCCCAGACACCTCTGGCTGATCTAGGTGTGGGGGCTTGAAATACCGCCCACTTCTAGTCATATGATCGACTTCGTCGATGTACCAGGTATCGTCTGGCTGGTTACTCCCCCAATCCTC